AAAAATGTGGAAGATACCTTCGTTTTTCTGACTCAAAAAGTGTTTATCTCTGTAAGCTTTTCCTTCATTTCTTAAAAACAAGAAATGCTCAAGTCACTGCAAATGAAAATAAACAGTTAGAAGAAATAAAAACATATATATATATATATATATATATATATAACAACTTAATTAGCCAACGCATCCGTTAAGTAAAGTCAAGTTCTAGTTGATACAGGGTGATGCCCATAAAGAATGAGACTTTAATAACAACCAAATAATTAACTTAAGGTTGAATTTGGACTTTTGTTCTTAATCAAGTTTTTAAAGGTATAATTAAATTAAATGATCTGTCGAAGGTAAAACAAGTTGGATGATTTGAATTGAAGAGAAAAGACTGAATAAATTTTGTACAGTCGTCTCTCGAATATATCAATACAATCGACGACTGATCGATTTTACTTTTGATTTCTTCATAGCTTTCAAACAGCAAGGATACACATTTGTGAGCTGAACAAAAGGAATAATACTCGAAAGAGGGAAAGGCAAGTTGGCAAGGAAAACACTCTTTACTACCAGACACAGATAGATGATAACTTCTTGAAAAAGTATATTTCAGTAACGAGGTTTCCTACAAAATACAAATTGTTATTGGCGTACATGCATATAAATAATAATAGTTAATAAAGATTAAACAGTTGAAGGGTTTTTTTATTATCAATAAATGAGTATTGGAATTCTAGGTTTTGTAGGTTTAGTAGGATTGGGGATCATATTTTCTGTTGTAAATCAATAAATAACGGGTTTAAAGGCACTGTTGTGAATTGATTAATAAAAGGTACTGTTGTGAATGGAACTTACAATCTAGAAAACTGTGTTGGGTCAAAAAGTTGTTTGTACTGAAGTCTAAAGCAAATTTAATTCTTCTGAAAATAAATATTTCGTCTGATTAAATAAGTTCACTATTTGATTGCAAATGATTCACTGAAATTATGTTTAAATGGGTTCTTTTAATGCACTTAAAGTTTTATTAGCTCCATGCGGCTGTTGTTTACGTTTATGCAAAATCCTTGGCAAGGTTTGGTTTGGCGGGTGGCCGGATTATTCAACGGAGATACAATTTGTCGGAGACGACTTTTAAAACAGGGTTACATTAGGGATATGGTTCACAACATTATACTTAAATTTAAAATAAAGCTTATTAGAAACCAAACTTAAATAGAATAGTCGTCTTCATTCGCTTGATATAGTCGCTGTACCCTAGTTACCAAAGAACTAAAATTAAACGTATATTTTACGTAATTTATGGTAAAATTTTACGAGAAATATCTCGTTGTTATCAAGAAATATAAAGACCAGGAACCGCCATATCTGATGTGTCAAATCTGTGTACTGCAGTGGGAGGAGATGGAAACAAAGAATTCAGGGGCAAAACATCAACTATGTAGGAGGGGGGATTATAAGAAATATTACTATCGTAGACATGAATAATGATTATAAAATGCAAGAATATTTGTTACTTGCGAGTATATGTTGGACTGTAATATTACATCAGAGCTTCAGTCCTTTCCCTTCAACTTCTGTGGGGGCACTGGATTTGTTTACATTCCTCCCACAGTACAGTACAAAATTTGCGTGAATCCGAGTTGGGCGTTCCTGTATATAGTTCCTAGGTTATAATCCTTTAGTCTCATCCAAGATAGTACTCATGGTCTCATCCTGTGTAACCCAAGGAGTATGGAATAGAAGTTCCGTCTTCAAAGCATTTATATTTCATACTCCTTGGTGTAACCCTATCATCCTATTTGGATTGTGATGATATAAATCTGAGTAGAAGTACCGTCTGCAAAGCATGTATAATATTTCATACTCCTTGGTGTAACCCTATCATCCTATTTGGATTATGATGATATAAATCTGAATAGAAGTACCGTCTGCAAAGCATGTATAATATTTCATACTCCTTGGTGTAACCCTATCATCCTATTTGGATTGTGATGATATAAATCTGAATAAAATGGCAAAGTGAGAGAAAGAATGAGACTTTAATGTCTTTAATGTCGACCAAAAACACAATTGAATAAGAATAATGAATTGTGTTATTTGCCATAATTATAGTTTTTAAATGATATGGCGAAAGACTGCAGGAAACAAAATACAGGGTTACCCACACACATAAGATACTTCAGAGACGGCTTTACAGAATCTACTTAGTATTGTTTCTAACATTGTTGGCTCCCTTTTAATTGTGAACTTGTTCCTTTCTTTGCTAAATCAAAGCACTTGCTCCTTGCATCTCAGAATTAAATGCAGGATTAAACATATATAGTGTTACGAATTAATGAAATCTAAAGGTAAATTTTGTCATCTTTTAATTGAGTTTTAAAAGAAACTAAACGCCCTTGATTTATGATAATAACGACCTAAATATTTTTAATACCGGTCTGATGGTTAAAGTTGGACGTTTGCTTTAAATGCTAATGATTATACAAAGTGTTGCTTCAGCCATAGATTTCTAAAAAATGGCACTGAGCGTCCTTAATTCCATTCAGTTTAAAATTTAACAATGAAAAGTAATTTTTTTTAGTGGAACTTTCTTATAAGAAATTGTAGATAGATATTAAATATTTCTTTAAAAGACTGAATGTGCTAAATGAAATGAAACTGATTAATTTATTTTAAAAAAATTTGAAAAGATTTTAAACATAAAAAAGATTCCAAGAAAAGCACTTCATTTAAAAAAAGATTTGTAAAGAAAATAAATTTTCGGGAATGAACACATTTCAATAAAATAATGTAGAATTAATTTATTTCAAAATAAAAAAAAGTTTATTAAAATATATTTACATTGTATCTTTTAACAAAATTATAATTCTTACAATTTCAAGTTATTTCAAATGTAGTCAAAAACAGTATATTCAATTGATCTTAAAGTTTGTAATGGATGGAATAATAATGTCATTTCGACAAAATATTTTCCGGAACAATAAAGTCACAAATGTATAGAAAAACCCTCCTTGTTCTTAAAGGGAGTGTCGAAGTCATTGAAAGTGTTACTTGCCAGATTCACAACAGTACCCTTTTAACCTGTCTTCTCAGTGATTATTTCGAATTAAATCTTGTTTTTTGTTCTGTTCTCGCTTTCTTTGTTTAAGTGTTTATCAAATTGCACAGAAGTGCAGTGATGGATAGATAAATGCATTATTATATTTTCTAGATGTTTTGGGTTGGGTAGTTGAGTGAATCGGCTATATTATTCTTTAAACCAAGCTTCTTTAATTAGGTTGGTGATTCTCGGTGCGCTCTAATGTACAGAAAATGTCATCTCCTTAGCATAGATAGATAGAATCCGCATCCAAAGTAACCAACCATATTGAAGAACCTTGCTTTAGACCGAGGATCAGTTAAAATCCCGTTGTTAATATTTTTAAAATCATAGATATCGTCATAAGATGGGTTTCCATCTCCAGTTTACTGTTGCTTCTGTCGTCCTTGGAACTGATCCATGGAGCAGTTGAATCCAAAAGCCTGGCCTAGTCTCATGAACCCGGAGGAAGGAAGGATTGCCTGCAAAAAAAAAACTTTCCATACAAGGGCTCTCAGTCTCACAAAATACAGGAATACCCAAGAAGAATTAAACTCTAACGACGACCTTAAAACGTTTTAAATTCAACTATCTAAAGTTTGGGTTTCAGGTATATATGAATATATTATAACAAGGCTTTTAGGGCGCTTCGCGTCCATTTTCTATTTCAACTTTTAATTGTGGCTTTATCTGTGAGCATCTTCTCTTTGTACAGTTTTTAAAAAAAATTTGCGGATTAAGAAATATTTTTTTGCACATTTTCAAAATAAAAAACTTTTAAACAAAAATTTTTGAAATTTTGATCATTCAAAACCTTCCCTGGGGTCACGTTAGGTCCCACGGTTCAGCCGTTTTGACGTTTATTGGATACAAACTGAGAGACAGACAGACAAGCAAAGTATATATACATATAATAATACAATAAGAATGATGTCGCTATGGATAAAACGAGTTTACTATGTATTTCATTCGCACTGAACCAAGAATGTGAGAAAAAAGATTAATTTTATCAAGAAGGGTAGTTTTTCAAAAAAAGACCTATCTTTAAAAAAATGTTTTTTTTGTAAGCCAGCAGACTTAACTTTAAGAGAAAACTGGTGTCCCTGAATGAACTTTTTGTGTCATGTTATTCGTCCATTTCATAAAAAATATTTCCAATTCCAATATTCTTCAAATTGTCTCTTGCTTAAAAATGGCAAAACAGTAAAAACTTGAAGTACTTTTTTCAAATCATATTAAAGTTAGAACAAAAGTTGAGCTAAGGGAAAAAGATAAGAGTTTCAAGATTAATGCTACAATTAAAAATGTCAAGATAACAAAATTGCATTTTGAATTTGATAAAAATAGATTTCAAACTTTGTATTTAGAAATCAGACCCAAGATCTCCGCTACACTTTGACCCTGATAAAAATGGGATATCGAGACATGTACGTATGTACACGAAACATGTACGTACGTACACGAAACATGTACGTAAGTACACGAAACATGTACGTACGTACACGAAATTGAGGATATTTAAGAGTTTCAAAACGCTAACCACATCTTTTTTGTGGTAAACTATATCATTACCTGGATCATAGTATACTAACTATAGCTTTCCATAAAACGGAAATTATGATTAAAAGAAAAGTATTGAAGAAGGAAGGGCAAAATTTAAAAAAACACATTTGACAAGTTTATGAAAAAATGAAAGGATTTAAAGAAGGCATTCGTCACCTTTAGCGTGATAAGTAGAAAGGTCCAGGATGGTAGAAGAATAACTTCTTCATTAGATAATACTCCAGATACAGCTTTCTCAGCAACAAACTCAGGTTCAAGAATAGGAACCAGTTTACTCTGCAATATTAAGAATAGGAACCATTATACTCTGCAATATTAAGAATAGGAACCAGTTTACTCTGCAATATTAAGAATAGGAATCATTATACTCTGCAATATTAAGAATAGGAACCATTGTTTATTCTGCAATATTAAGAATAGGAACCATAGTTTACTCTGCAATATTAAGAATAGGAACCATGGTTTACTCTGCAATATTAAGAAAAGGAACCATTATACTCTGCAATATTAAGAATAGGAACCAGTTTACTCTGCAATATCAAGAATAGGAACCATTGTTTACTCTGCAATATTAAGAAAAGGAACCATGGTTTACTCTGCAATATTAAGAATAGGAATCAGTTTACTCTGCAATATTAAGAATTGGAACGATGTTTTACTCTGCAATATTAAGAATAGGAACCATGGTTTACTCAGCAATATTAAGAATAGGAACCATGGTTTACTCTGCAATATTAATATTATAAATCAGAATAAAGAAATTAAATGAAAATATAAATTACCTGAACCCCTGCAAACATGCCTGTGCTGATGTAGTATGGACAGACTACGGTTGTCTTAATGTACTCTAGAAAAAGTATAATTAAAGTTGATAAATATTTGAAGAATATGTATTGTATTATCCATTCTTTAATAATAGGGGAAAAAAGTAATCAATTGTTTCAGATATTGAGAAAAGAATGAAGAAAGTACATTTTTACAATTATCTCTTATTCAGAAAATTAGTTACGGAAATATTATTTTGTATGTTCAAACAATATCTGTATTTTTGGCTTGACTGTCTTTATGTATCCAATTAACGAAAAAGTGTCTCGAAATAAGATATGTTTCGTGTTTAGAGAAACAAGATTATGGAGTTAAATGATTTAAAATCTCAAAACCAACCCATTAATGTTAAACTCCTAGGGAGCTACCTGAATGCCCCTGAACGAACAGCTCTACCCTAAACGCCTCATCCAACCCTACAGCAGCAAACTTACTAGCACAGTAGTCAACCTAGATACAATATAGTTCTAGGATAGAGTAGTCAACCTAGATACAATATAGTTATAGGATACAGTATTCAACCTAGATATAATATAGTTCTAGGATACAGTATTTAACCTAGATACAATATAGTTACAGGATACAGTATTCAACCTAGATACAATATAGTTCTAGGATACAGTATTCAACCTAGATACAATATAAATAATAATAATAATAATAATAATAATAATGATAATGATAATGATAATAATAGTAATAATAATAATAATAATAGTAATATTGGTACTATTAATATTAATTATGGAGGGGGTGCAGGGCCGCTATGAGCCCCGCAAAATGGTTTCCCAGCCTCAGTATTTGCAGATGAGTATTTAAAATGACCTTTAGAATAGACATTATAAAAGTAATGTATAAACATTTATAGAAAACTTTTTAATATTTTATAGTTATGCAATGTTTTTTGGATATTCTAGAGAACACTGCATAACTATTTCAAGATTTAATATTTTTTTTGAAAAATTTAATTTACATTTGCATTGTCTTGATATAATAACGCACAGTACTTGATACAATTGCGTATTAATTCTTTATTTGAGTTTTGATTTTTAAAAGTTTTTTTTCGAATTGCAAGTTTACAAGTTATTAAATAGTTTCTCTTTATTTCCATGTTTAAGTGTATCTCCATGCTGTTCAAAAGCTAGATATAAATTAGAATTGAAATCCAAAGCCTTTTTCATTGTATTGATATAATCACCTTCCACTGTATAATATCTATTCTCACGTTTAGGGGTACTATACCGACAGTTCGATTTTTACGATATAAGATGTTTTAAATGTAACCGGTATTTTTCTTTTTTTCAACATCAAAAAAAAAATTCTTACAAAAAAAATTTCAGTTGTTTTTTTCAGAAAAATTGTCTGATAAAACAGAGGAAACCAATTCCAATCTTTTCTCGAAAAAAGACGACATTTAATAAACATTCCTCGTCAATAGCCAATGTGTAAACTTTGTCCTCTAAAAGTATCGAAGTCTTTATTAATAATAATAGTATAGAATTTAAGCAAATAAATGAGATGATACGCTCCTGGAAAATTTAGTTGATAAATGCTTTGTTTTGTAAGAGTATTTTAGTAGTAATGAACAGGTTTGGGGATTTATCAAATTTTCATGAATAAGGATTAAGAACTTAAACAGCAAAAATAAAAAGTTCTGCCTTTTTAAAACATATGTAATATCTTTGTTTAACTACAGGGTGTCCCACGAAACATGACAGTAGAATGACGAATTAAAAGTCGTCTTAGATCTTGGAATTTACTTGTGAAATTCAGTCAACAACCAACATGTACAGGGTGTCCCACGAAACATGACAGTAGAATGACGAATTGAAAGTCGTCTTAGATCTTGGAATTTACTTGTGACATTCAGTCAACAATCAACATGTACAGGGTGTCCCACGAAACATGTCAGTAGAATGACGACTTGAAAGTCGTCTTAAATTCTGAATTTACTTGTGACATTCAGTCAACAATCAACATGTACAGGGTGTCCCACGAAACATGACAGTAGAATGACGACTTGAAAGTCGTCTTAGATTCTGAATTTACTTGTGACAGTCAGCCAACAATCAACATGTACAGGGTGTCCCACGAAACATGACAGTAGAATGACGAATTGAAAGTCGTCCTAGATCTTGGAATTTACTTGTGACATTCAGTCAACAATCAACATTTATGATTCTTGATGCAATAAACAACTCTGATAAATAAAACTTAAATTGTCGAACTCACAAACGAAATTATTCATAAGGTAATAGTGAAAGCACAAAAAAGACAGACCACATTTTGTAAATACCAGGACCAGGGTATTTGGTGACTATTAACTCTAGGATTTTACTTCTAAAATTAGGTTTACAAACCTGTATTATTTGACGATACCTCGGGTCAAAGACTTTGCTAAGGTCGTCCTTTAATTCGCATTTTTAACGAAACTGTCTGTGATATTGTTTTCTTTGATGGTGGATATTTTTCAAACAAAAATCCCATAAATTAATTGAAGAGTAAGATTAATACATTAAGTTATGCGATATTATTTCTTTGCCTAAGATTAAACAGAAGACGACATTTACACAATATTTATTTACCGTTTATAATATTAGAAATTTCTGGTCCCCTCTCTTCTTCATCGCCTAAAATTCCATTCCATAGTACCTCAGGAAAAATATTTGACGACATCTGAAAATTTTCACTAACAATTATTGGCTATTTTTAATACAAAAGAGATGCGTAACTTTATCACAAATTCAGCTATAATTCACCAGACGATCCTCATATCCAACAAATGATTAAATAAATTTTAAAATACAAAGAAATATCATTAATTTTAGTTAACTTTCAGCACAAAACATTTACAATTGAGTTAAATAACTAAGGTTTTAATGTCGATCGTTAGACTCGCAAACAAACAAAATAACCAATGACGTCAAAATACAGCTGTACTCGCTGTACAAGCGTACACAATAGTCGGATAAATTTCCAACGCCTCGTCTTTATAATTAGCAAAGTCTTTGCCTCGGGTTAATCCTGAGCCTATCCCGAGGTAACTCATAATGTCTTTATATATTATTGTTTTATTTTCTTTCTAACAAAGCTTACGGAGAAAAAAAGTTTATCTATGTTTACTTATTTATTTCATTTTAATTTGTAGGAATCAAAGACAGCTGTCTCCGATTAACTTTTTTGTGGAGGTATTAAAAAAACGAATATATTTTCATAAATTTTGATGATTCAAGACATCAAAAAAATATTGAAGGTATGCTAAATATTGGTTTGTTGCCTAATAATTACGGTTTCTAGTTTATTGACAGTTAAGCATTGTCCATAAACTAATTTATCTTTTTAAAACGAAAAAGTAAATATGTTAGAGGTAAATGAAACCAATCTGTGGGATGCCTGCGTATAGAGACTGTCAGCTGGTGGGGTCTTAAATGTATAAGACATGTGGCCGCAGTGCTCGGCCCACTAGACTGTCCTAGCCGCTGCGCGCGGCCAGGAAAATTTCTTAACCTACCCTAACCCTAAATAAATACTAATTTTATTATTGTTCTGGATCTACGGTCGGATAAAGTGCATCAGACATATGAAATGTTTGAAGCTTTCCATATCTTACGTTATCTGACCTATAAAATGTGTGCATCTCGACCTACAAAATTTGTGCATCCGACCTACAAATGTTGTTCATTCGACCTCAAAAGGTCTGGATCCAACCTACAGTTAAAAGTGCGTGCAACCGACCTACATTAGGTCGGATACGCTATAAACTCTTTTTCAATTTAGTGTGTATCCAACAGCCGCTAGAAGCTGCTGAAAAACCACTTGCGTGTACAGGTCCAAAGTATCGTAAAACGGATGTAATACAATCCATTTAGGAAAGCTAAATTTCATGGAAGCCGACCTTAAGAGTATCCGAGTTAATTATTTATGCAGTTTTCATGAAATGACCCTTGTTTCTAACATACCATATCATTTATATATAAACATAAACTGCGGGGGGGGGGTCTTAATGTTAATGGTTGACAACTATAGTTCTAGGATACAGTATTCAACCTAGATACAATTTAGGTCTAGGATACAATAGTAATAAAGAAGTCAGCCTAGATAGCATATACATAGTTCAAGGACTCAGCGACAACCTAGACGAATGTCTCCAGGATTATGAAGTAAACCCTCTCTGTATTTTTGCGACCCAACCCCAAAATTTCTTCAGAAGTATCTCAGATTTTAACAAGACAGTTTAACCTTTGATCCAGTTGAGGATAATTTATTTTCTATATGGAAGTTCAGTGTATGTTTACTTACAATAAATGATATAGTGCAGGAGGTATTCTGCTTAAACTATTTTTATAAAAGGAAGGAAAAACTCGGTTCTTTAAATCAGAGATACTTCTGAGGAAGTTCAGTTTTGTGCTGCAAAAATACAGTGTAAAGACAATTTAATTTTAGGACACAGTTGCCAACCTAGAAGGATATCTTTAGGATGTTTGATACAACACGTGTCAAGGATATATGACAGAATAGAAATTAATTTTCCAACCTGTCAAAAATTTTCCCAACTTTTATCACGTTTATGTAGAGCTGTCACAAAGTGACATAAACCGACTCAGAACGTATAAAAATATTTTTGGATTTTGATTTTTTTTGTAACCACAGCTCTGTCTCTGAAGAGACATATCTTAAGACAATTCAAAAAGTATTCATTCAAGAGCCAATAGATAAAAACAATTCAGTAAAATAATTATGTGAATCCTTATAAGAAAGCCACGGTAGCAGCAACTTTTTTATAGTTTCTCAAAATAAGGTTTTAACTTTTTGGGAGTATTCTTAATTGGGAATTTAATGAACTGAATTTGTCATGAAAATAAATTTTACTTGAATTTTCCATTTTCTAGAATAAAATAATTCAAAAATATTTCAAATTGGAAGTTTCTTCCCTGTTAAAACTTATATTTATGGTATATATGAAGGAATAAGACGGGCTGAGAAAAAACCTGCTTGAATGAACACTTTTGCAAAATTTAAACATTATTTATTTATTATTCTTTATAAAATATTGTGAAAAGAATTCTTTCTCTAATCTCACATTTTTCCTACCAGTTTATTAGTCCCACTGTGACCGGCCAAGCTGGCAATATTGACAACGTGACCTTTCTTCGCTTTAATCATCTCAGGTAAGAAAGCCTGAAAAGGAGATTATGAAATATTCAAAGATGTCTTGGATTAATGATAATTCGAACTATAAATTCTGGTAGATTAAAGTTAAAATTTCTAATTATAAGGTTTACACGACCAGTTGTAAAGAGAATAGAACAGTTATATTTGTTTATAGGGATTTAAAAATAAGAGTTAAGCCCCTTGTCAGGATCGAGAATTGTCTTTATGGATTTTTCATCCGGACTTTGTTAGAAGTTGCAGTGGGCCAAGATTTAAAGAAAAAGATTTAATAAATCCGCACAGTCGCCTTTGAAGTCCGTGGTTAACCCTGTATAAAAAATAATTTTTTTAAGATGAACTGAAAAAATAGAGCCCAGCTGCGTTCTTTGATGATTAACGTTATTACCTTTATTGTCCAGAAATGCGCGAAAGTGTTTACTTCGAAGGTTTTGATAATCTTTGAGTCTGGAGTATCTAGTATATTGGAACCAGATACTATTCCAGCATTGTTCACTAAACCAAACCAAACATTCATAATATTATCAGAGATGGAGCTCAATTCAGCCCCCCCCCCTGGAAAAGGTTAAGGCATTCCCAAGCGGTAAAAATAATTTTCTTTACACGCCCATTCAACAGTTTAAAGCGTTCTAAGAGTTAGCACTCGGTCATCCGACCAAAGGGAAAATGACCTACGTGTTTTCTGACCAAAGGATATTCTGGCCTAAAAGTGTACTAGATCTTAAAATAGGATAGGTTAAAATATATAGGGAGTTGATTTAAATCCGTACAGACGCGAGTAGAGTTACAATTGATATAGCCTTGAAACCTATTCGATAATTAAAGTTCGAATACCCGTTAGGTCGGTTTCCTCAAAGTCAATTTCCATAGCATCCTATTTAATAATTCCTGTCTAACCGTGCGATTGACATACGACAGTCTCGTTAAACAAGAAGAAGGTTTCCCATGAATAGAGATTTGGTTATATTAAAGGATTCTATAAACTTAAATAATTTTGTATCAAAATCAGATCTTTTTCATTGGATTGATTATTTCTTTCATCTATTTTTATCTTTTGAACTTAAATTTTGGTTTAAATCGATGAATCCCGAGGTAATTTCTATGTCGTAGTTTTTTAAAGACACTATCTTTATTGCGCCTTAGAGAAAACGATAATTTAAAAGATCAAAACTATTGAGCGTAAAATTGGTATTTGGTAATCTACAACGCTTAATTACTTCATATTCAATTTAGGAATTGATTTAATCCTTCTGGCGACCAAACGGATTACCAACACACAAGTTCTGACCTCAGGATAAAAAGATGCATATGGTGCACATCATGAAATGAATTATCAACAAAACATATAAAATTTGTAATGAAATGTCTCGAAGTTAAGTTAAATAAAAACATGTACTTTGGTCTTTGGTTTGGTTTGGTTAAAAACATTTAATATTTACTTTGTAATAAATATTTATTTTCCTCACTTTCAAATTTTAATTATTTATACGTTTTAAGTAAAAAGATATATTATTTATTAATCCCCCCAAATTGTTATCAATAACTCTTCAGAAAAAGAAATTCAGAATATGTAAACTTTCTACTTTCTAGTTCTTTTCAAGGAAGATATCTTATATATTCCTTGATTCTAATATTAGTTTGATAAATATGATTATTTCAGTTTTCATAGAACATATTCCTTGGTTCTAATATTAGTTTGATAAATATAATTATGTCAGGTTCCCTAGAATATATTCCTTGGTTCTAATATTAGTTTGATAAATATGATTATTTCAGTTTTCATAGAACATATTCCTTGGTTCTAATATTAGTTTGATAAATATAATTATGTCAGGTTTCCTAGAATATATTCCTTGGTTCTAATATTAGTTCAATAAATATGATTATGTCAGGTTTCCTAAAATATATTCCTTGGTTCTAATATTAGTTTAATAAATATGATTATTTCAGGTTTCCTAGAATATATTCCTTGATTCTAATATTAGTTTAATAAATATGATTATGTCAGGTTCCCTAGAATATCTGGAGATCCCACCTCCTTCTTCATCTTCTCAGCTGTAGAGTAGATTTCTTCTCTGAACAAGATTTAGAATAATGAAAAGGATTTTTAGAAATAACAAATTAATTTTGAATTAAGTGTGTATATTATTCTTATTTTTTACCAATCAAGCGAAAAACAGAATTGGAGAGAGTATAAGAAAAAGATATAGTTAATAATAAAAATATTGCCATTACTTTTATAATTGTTATTATTTTTATTATCATTATTATTATATGATCATTACCAATTACGAAATTATTTTAAATGCGTAATTTCATTTTTTACGAGATAAAGATATAAAATGTTGACAAAACCTTGCTATGTTAGCAAATCTACCGGATAGCAACCTGCTTTATATAATAATAATATGATAACATTCAAACAAAATACATTTTTTTCAATGTTTAAAAAAAAAATGTACAAAAAAATTAAGCCCGTGTTTAATGTAAATTTTTGTTTTTTATCAACATTTTTGGGAAATATTTACGGGATACAGGTTAATCCCTGAACTTGATAACAAAATATTTTTTAAACTCTAAATCACTAATTTGTAAATAATTCATAACAGATTCAGAATTTATGCATTTTTTAGGTTTAAAATATTAAATGAAAATATTCCATAATATCGAGCGTAAAATATAGATAATAATAATTTAAAGAAAAACAATAAAAAAGGAACTGATACTTTTTCTCTAATTCTCATTTTCAAACATTAAATCTTTGCAACCTGATGTTTTAAAAATTTGGTATTTCAAATTATGAATTCTGCTAAATCAACCGTAAAAACTGAAACTTGTTAGCTACCTTCCTTTTTAAGAAAAAGAGAATATCTTTAATTTTTATTGTTGTTTTCTAACAGTTGGCAAAAAATAAATAAAATTTTGAGAAAATCAAATTTATCTGATTACAAATTAGAAATTTAAAGCATTTTTGTTCTTCTCAATAGCTGTTCAGTAAAAGGATTCATGATAAAACACATATAAGACTTCAATCTGACGTGCAGTTTACTTTAGTTTGACGTGAGTTCAAGATTAAAATTTAAGAGTCCCACAAACATGACAGGAGCAAGACAACACTAATGTAAAATATCTTAGACGACCTTAAAGGGAGTGTAAAGGAAAAATGAAAGGTGGTATAGGATGAAATCTGAGAATCTCAGGCGTTGAACGATACCTATGAGACATCTATGTGATGTTCCTGTCTCGAGAAATTGATATAAGACTCTGTCAAATTAATACGAAAATTCAAATATATGCAATTTTGTTTAAACGTTGTATTATTAAACAAATCCTATTCCACAAATACGCAACCAATCTGAAAACGACGATATCCCACAGGAGCCTAAGAATCTCAGGTTTGCTCCTATTATAATTTTTTAATTTTATTTTGCATTTTTAATAGATATAATTAATAACAAAATTACATACAGTCAGTATAGTCCGTATTACGTCACCAGAACTTCAGCCAATGGCAGTGCAGTATCATTGTCACGTGATACAGACGGAAATCACGTGACCAGTATACTAATCTACCATTGGCTGAAGTTCTGGTGACGTAATGTTGCGTATTTATTGAATATGATCTGTTTAATACTGTTTAAAACTTTTATACAAAAGTGCATAAATATGAATTTTTGTATAAAGGAAATGAGTCTTTGCCACAAATTCAGATTTTGTAAAACCTATATCTTTGCAATCTTATGGTGAAAACCTTTGATATTTCAAACTTACATTATTTGACCTAATAGCATTCATAGCGTGAAATATTAAAGATCTGCGACATTGGGTTGCAACGATATTGAAATTAGAAAATCAGAGTTTGTGGCAAAAACTCAATTCCTTTGACCCAGTTTTAAACCAATTTCTCGAGACAGAAACATCAGATAGATGTCTCATAGCCTCATAGGTAGATGTCTTATATGTATCGTTTAACGCCTGAGATTTTCAGGTTTCATTCTATACCCCGTTTAATTTTTTCTTTGCAGTCCCTTTAAAGTCGTCTTTCTACTGTCAAGTTTCGTAGGACACCCTGTATATCCCACTATCCCACCTGTTGGATATATCTACGATATAAGAATACGCCTTGCCGCCATCCTTCTTTATCATTGCAACCGTCTCATCATTACCTTAACATATTTCACAATTATTTTAGTTTTAAAATTATTTATTAAACAAAATATACTGTTTTACAATTTTATTTGATCAATTTTGCTATTTGGTTTTATTACTTTTTTCATTCAAACTTTTCTTGAGTTCTTTATCAAATAAGATATTTTTTTCCTTTTTCTACATCGAAAAAACTAATTAATTGAAACGTTTAATGTAATTTTTTTAACAACGACTGGAAAAAGCGCAAAATTCGATAATTCATTTTAATTGGTGTAATGTAAAATAACCGCGTATTTTTGTCCAAGAAACATGTTTTTATATTTCCCAAATTCTGAAAAGTGGGATTACTAATTCCAGAATGAGGAAAAAAATATTTGCGTGGAATGAAATGAATGTTTTCAATTTTAGTTTTAAAGGGAACTGTCACAGTTTTTAAAGAAGGGGGCGGTTTGGTAAAATATTTTAGGAAGATGGAAAAAACCCTGTTTTTAAAATCAAGTTCTCAAATTTAATTAAGTTGCTTCTTTCTTGATGATATATGATGAAATCTAGAATATCTAACAAAAATTCTATCCACCAAGGAGAAGAAAGAGATGGACGCAAATAAGAACCTCTGCAGAGTGGTAGAAGATTGATAGAGTCTATGTAATATCTACTGTCCCGCTAGCTGACGGCTGAAATTTTTAACGACGAGACACAGATGACCAAAAATAGATACTAAATCTTTTTCAAATCCGATATTTTTGTTGCATGAACTAATTTCATTGTTACCAATATTAGATAAATATTAATCCACAAGCTTTTATTGCCGATACAAAGAGTTCCAAAATTTAAAACGCAAGTGGAAACCTTTTTTTAATATACACCCTTTATATTTTCAAGCAACTATATAAACCTTTTTTAATGTACACCCTTTATATTTTCAAGCAACTATATAAGGATTTCAAGGAATTGAGTCTATATCACAATCTCACATTTTCTATAGTCTATATCTTTGCAACCTGATAGAGTATACCTGTAAAAATTCAAATTTTGATTATTTGATCTAATTATCAGAATTCAAAAATTGAAATACCTAAGGACTACTAGATTGAGCTGCAAAGATATAGGGATTAGAAAATCAGAGTTTAAAATAAAGACACTATTCCTTTATTAGAAATAAATTAAATATCTTTTGAACAGTTCACCTTTTGAATTGATATCCCAGGTTACTACAATAGCTCCTTTCTTGGCAAACTTACAGCACATCAATCTCCCTTAAACATTTACATTTACATCAACCTCCCTTAAACATTTACATTTGCATCCACCTCCCTTAAACATTTACATGTCCATCAACCTTTCTTAAACATTTACATTTCCATCAATCTCCCTTAAAATTTTACATTCACATCAATATCCCTTAAACATTTACATTTCCATCAATCCCCCTTAAACATCATTTCCATCATTCTCCCTTAAACATTTACATTACCTTTCTTAAACATTTACAATTACATCAACCTCCCTTAAACATTTACATTTCCATCAACCTCCCTGAAACATTTACATTTACATCAACCTCCCTTAAACACTTACATTTCCATCAACCTCCCTTAAACATTTACATTTACATCAATCTTCCTTAAACATTTACATTTACATCAATCTCCCTTAAACATTTACATTTACATCAACCTCCCTTAAACACTTACATTTCCATCAACCTCCTTTAAACATTTACATTTACATCAATCTTCCTTAAACACTTACATTTACATCCACCTCCCTTAAACATTTACATTTTCAATTGTATTTAGATTTGCATTTGCATCAACATTCCTTAAACATTTAGATTTACATCAACCTTCCGTAAACATTTTTATATCTACATCAACCTTCCTTAAACATTTATATCTACATCAACCGCCCTTGAAAATTTACATTTTCAATTACATTTCAATTTGCATTAATTTTCCTTTACATTTACATTTTCATCTAATTTAATGCGAATGTAGCCGGGATCCATTCTGTGAATAAATGATATACGTAATGTATCTATATTTAATTTTTAATCTTAATACTAACCTATACCACTCCCTCCTCCTGTTACAAGGACAATATCTCCTTTGATATCCTGAATATTAGATTTAGTATTTTATATATTTCTCATGAGAGGATGAATATATACAGAGAGGATGAACATATACAGAGAGGATGAATATATACAGAGGATTAATATATACAGAGAGGATTAATATTTACAGAGTGGATAATTGTTAAAAAAGAGTATAAATATTTACTTTATAACAATTACAAAGAGAATAAATATTTACTTTATAACAATTACAAAGAGAATAAATAATTACAGAGAGAACAGAGAGGATAGATATTCACAGAGAGGATGAATACAGAGGCAGGATGAATATTTATAGAGAGGATAAATATTTACAGAGAGGATAAATATTAAAAAAGGGTGTAAGTATTTACAGAGTTACCGCCAATTGTTTACCTTGAAGAAATATGAGCTCGGGATAAATAGTTTCACAACTCCAAATAAGCTAGAGATAGAAGATAAATTTAAAAAAAATTCCTCTATTTATCATTTACTCGGATAATAATTCAATAATCCTATTTAGTGTTCATCTTCAGGCGTGAGAATATTACCCGCCACTGCAGCCATAAATCCCGTAGGGTTAACACTATACTCACTATTCCGTAACAATGAGAATCACATTTTCATATTCATTTCAATTTCAAAACCGGGGTTTCTTATAAATCTTGTAAGCTTGGGTTCAAACAAAAAACCGCTGCAGAGAATGAAAAATTGTCTTCACAGGAAATCCAATAAGTTTCAAGGCTGATTAGTGTAATCCCTTAGATTGATGTAAAACGTTAACTTTGGAATTATTCAAAATAGTTCCACCTTCGTCTTGTTATTAATGGGACTATATAAGCGTAATTTCAAGTGAGAACTAGACATAGATAAAGATAGATTGCGCATAAGACGACATTTTTCATCTTGAAAGATATAAATGTACAGAGATATTCCTATTATATAGATTAACTAGGTCGGTTGTGAACATTAGCTGTTCTTATGTCATTGAGTATAACTTGTGGTATACATGAGTTCTGTAGAGAGAAATTTAAGTTAGTTTAGTCCTTCTCATGTCCTTCTTCAGTTCTCGTCAATATGATATATTGCTCAGTGAAATATTGTTTTTCAAATAGTTCCATTCCCGGAGTTATTTTACACTCTATTATGAAATCCATTAAAACACCAAACCACCCCGCTTATCATTGAAGTACACTTTGACCCCTAGAAGTATGAGTTCGCGGACTGTACAATTCTTGTTTTTTTGCGTACATAAGCTATTTATGTTTATTTATTTATCTATGGAACTAGATATCCACTGATATCTAGACAACTCTGAAACATAATCATCAAATAGTTCAGATAGTCTCTAGTTTAAGGTTGATTCAACTCCTTAACTTGTGCAGGGTTTTACCTCACATACTTTTTTATACTTGTTTGTTATAGCCCCAAACATTACATTTTCAAATTGTAAAGTTTATGTTTTTAAGTGAAGTGTGAAAGGAGTAATTGACAAAATACTGCTCAATTTTTGTGTTAGAACGTGAACATCTTGGTTTGCAGTGTATATGTGTATATGTTTATAGTTTAAAAAAAGATTATTAAAAAAAGATTACAAGGATTGCCAACGATATCTTAATGTGCGGGTGCGCACGCTTTGAAATTTTTAATAGGATTTTTTATTTTTATTAATTGAAAACGTTAATATTTGTATGAAGGGGTAGCTGTAGATAATTTCCAGATGCCAGCCCTCTAATATTGCCACCCCTAATTTTTCAATTTGGGGGAGGGCGTCCCCCTCCCAGGACCATTGGGCGCTCCCCCATTTTTTTCAGGGGAACACCCACCCCCTTTCCCCCATTAAGCCGCCCCTCTGGTTTGTAGCCACGGCTTTTCTAGAAAATGCAGCGCAGCGCTAAAAGACAGAAATTGTCATGAATTCTTGTACATTTTTGCTCTAAAATATATTTACACAATAAATAAAGGGCCCATTGAATTACGTGTACTGTTTTTTCGTGAAAAGGAATTTTTAAACACGAGAATTTGCAAAAAAAGGAGAAATAGTATTTTTTACATTTGATACAGCCTACTGTTGGAAACAACATCTAAAAAGTTGGGTAAAAGCACGTCTTGAAAAAAATAACATTCAGTTTTCCTCAATTTCAGTTATACACTCTGAGGAAACATAATTTCTTATATCTTGGAGAAAAGAGTGTAGAAATTATTCTACATAGACAAGCCACTTGAACTCCCTTTAAAGACCTCGCAACTATTTCGAAAAAATAACAAAAATATTTTTTTTTATTCTGTCCATCGATACATGACAGTTGGGGTCGTCTTTGATCTTGAAACTTACTTTAGCAGTAAATTTCTAGAGTAATAATCACAAAATAACTCTAGTTGAGCGGTGAGCCATTACAAATATGTGGTGCGCCTTTCTAGTGATTTTGACCATATTTGTTTTGTTAGTTAACTTGAAATTTAAACGAAATTCTTTATATTAACGGTAATATTGCAGGGGTGGGGGCCTCAGCCCTATAAGCCCCCCCCCCCTGTACACCTGTTTATATAGTTTCTGTATAATTTATGCATCTATCCCTAGTGACGAGTGTAAAGAGTAGAGCAGCGACAGCATCTAGTAGAGCATTTACAACACTCATTATGTATTCTGTAAACATTAATTACTGTAGTCTATAAATCTTAAATCTTGTATTATGTAAACGTGATGTTGCATTGTGTAAATTTTGAATCCTGTATTCTGTAAACATTAATTACTGTAGTCTATAAATCTTAAATCTTGTATTATGTAAACGTGATGTTGCATTGTGTAAATTTTGAATCCTGTATTCTGTAAACATTACGTACTGTATTATGTAAACTTTAAATCATGTAAAAACGTTATGTTGTATATTATGTAAACTTTAAATCATGTATAAACGTAATGTTGTAATCTGTAAACTTTAAATCATGTAAAAAGGTTATGTTGTATATTCTGTAAACTTTAAATCATGTATAAACGTAATGTTGTAATCTGTAAACTTTAAATCATGTAAAAAGGTTATATGTTGTATTCTGTAAACTTTAATTCATGCATAAACATTATGTTGCTTCTGTAAACTTTAAATCATGCAAAGAGGTTATGTTGTATATTCTGTAAACTTTAAATCCTGTATAAACGTTATGTTGTATTATGTAAACTTTACATCTTGTATAAACTTTAAGTTGTATTCTGTAAACTTTAAATCCTGTATTCTGCAAACAATGCATAGTGTATTCTGTAAACTTTAAGTAGTGTATTCTGTAAACGTTAAATTGTATTGTGTAAATTTCAAATCCTGTATTCCCTAAACGTTTTGTTGTGGGCAGTGTTCTGGACATTTTCTTTTGAATTCTAAAATTTTCTCATGTATTTTGGAAAATTTATCCTGTATTCTGTAAATGTTCATGAGCTGTATACTGTATTCTGTAATCGTTATAATGTGGTCTGTATTCTGTAAACTTGAAATCCTGTATTTATGATGGATTCACGCAATATGTTTCACAATGTTAGTCAGAGGGCTAAATACAAACTAAGAGTTCACGGTTCAGTCAACAATGAACTATGAAGCCACCTCCGAATAGTCGGACGTTATTTACCCACATGACTCCCGCACCAAGGGAAACCTAGGAGTTAAACAGTAAACTACAAGGTCTGTTTATATGTTACCCATACGTAAATGAAGAGATTTTAATGGCGACCCAAAATTCTAAAAATAAAATTGAGTTTTGTTTTCTGCCTATAACATATAGTTTTCATTCATTAAAAGGAAGAAGTTTATAGTTTTAATGGAATAAGAATATAGGAAAATTTCAAAATACTTTTTGATACATTCCATAAAGTCTGCTCTAATGTCTTATCCTTTGTGGAAAACCCAGGATACTTTTTATGAAAAGAATTTACACTTTACAGAAGTATAGTAATTAAGTAGTTTTTTTTTTTTAATGAATTATATCATTATATGAATTAGGATGAGACAACATTCTAAATTCTTCATAAATTTAAAAGTAAGGCCGCTCAATGTGAAAATACTACAATATTTATCTGGTGTTTATAGTTACGGTGACGAAATGTTTAGTATTTATGGAAGATGACTTGAAGGCGTTAATGAAGTCTCATCCTCTACTAATAAATCTTCTTACAAGAGAGTTTTATTAAATTATTTTGTTAAAAAAAACTTTATAAAACTAGGTCTTCAGGACGATTCGCGCACATAAGAAATAACATCTTCAATTTTGGTTTTCGGCCAAAAACCTTCTCTGGGGCCCTGTGAAAAAAATTTGAGCTTTATCGATTAAGCCCTCTGGGAAACCAAATTTGAATACAGAGATAATCTGCGTTTTTTTCATCTCGGAAACAAAATAATATTTATTACTACAGTGGTTTGGCATTTATATTAATACAATGAAGACGACTTTTCTACTTAGGTTTTGATTTTTAACGAGGTTTTATCAAATTACAAGTTTACAAGTAAATAAAAAGAAGCTGCTATTTAACATCTTCTCTTTGTTTCAATGTTTTTGTGAATCCATGCCGTTTAAAAGCTTGGTAGAAATCAAAATTAAAATAGAAATTAGTCTTTATTGTATTGATATATAATACGACGACCAATGTATAATTGTACAGGGTTAATCGTAAAGGAATACCCTTTCACGATGACAAACATCTAAATATATCGATCTGCCTTGTAATGGTTTAATAAATGATTTGTCAAAAAAGCTTATCAGTTGCACAGCTCTAATTGAATGCAAGCAAGAAAACTTAGTAAATGTCACATAAACGTCTCTTCAGTTTCATCCTTTGTGGTCAACCCTGCATAAAAACCAGTTGCGAACTTGACCACTGCACTGGCCAGTTTTTAATGATTTGAATACAAGATCCCATGCAAATGAAGAATAACATATTTAAGGAATGGTCTAGATGTTCAACTCAAATGCAGAAAATTGTGTATTTTTTCTATTTGGTAAAAGATTTGTGAAAATCTTCCAAAAAATTTTCAAATTAATTTTGCTTTTAATTTTCCTTGGCTTAGACGGGCTTAAAAACATAAGCTAGGAATTAGAGGAAACTATGAGGAAGATTACCTTTTCACTAATCAACATCTAAAAATTAGAGTTGATATTTTTAACAAATTTTTATTTTAAAAATATCGGATTTAAATAGAACGCATGTAATGGTCAATGTAAAATATGACAACACATATTTTCAGAGGTAAAATAATGTACTTACAATAAAAACAAAACGCAAGACAAAAATATTTAGGATTGTAAATATGAATACAGTGTAAATTAAAAGTTTAATTTCACTCCAACAAACGTCTTCACTTTTTTACTCTCAAAATCCAAATTTGAACTATGGAAAAAATAGATGGAAAAATAGATTAAAAAAATTTCCTGATCTCTGAATGGTTCAGCAAGTTTTAGCATAAAAGTAAGCGAAAAGGAATTCTGCTTTGTTAAAAAAATTCAGTAAATCTTAAGGAAATATTTATGACCTGGATCCGGATTCTTTCTTTCCAGTGCGGATCCAGAATCCGGATCCGGATCCGGACCCGCATCAAAATTAAATGGATACTGAAAAAAGTGAGAAAAAAAACATGTTTGCCCAGTTTTTCCTGTAGTCTTGTAATCTGAAGCAATGTTGGTAGAGTACTAAGGATAATTTTATCACATTCCTTATCTCTTGATATTTACTGTATTATCACAAGCACAAACTATCTTATCTCGTCTCTTGAGAAAACAAATGCAATTTTTTCGGGTTTGCTCAGAGTTTCTTCACTATTTTCCAACAAATCTCTTTCATCTGAAACAAATAGGTTGAAATTGTTAAAATGTACAGTTCCTAAAATAAAAATCATTTAAGAGGAACCCACAAAATTCTATTCACCCAGTAAAATGTCAGTGTACATAAAATTTACTTTTGATTCATCCTGTATTTTACACAAGAATACGTCCAAATCACCGCATTACATCCTTAAGATTCACCCTGTACTTTAAATACTACCATGTCACACTGGTAAAAAAATCCTTCTGGTTTTACCCCGTAATACTCTGTATTGTAGAATATTTGTTGAATGTTTAAAAGAATTTAAAATAATGCGCAACAAGAGCAATCTATTCTGATAAAAGTAGCTTTACCCTAAAAACTGTCAGTACCAATTCAAAACTGTCAAAGATAAAAATATTCTCAAATGAAAACGAAACAATTAGAAATATAGTTCAAAATAAACTTTAAAATAACTAAGCTATATAAAGGTGTGAATCAGACAATGCAATCTGTACATGGAAGGTCACTTAAACTTACGCTTACAGTCCCTTTCATGGGAATTCCCCAATGACCCGTACAGGGTGTCATTAAAATATCTCACATATAGCAGAATTCAGTTTATAAAATCTTTTAGCCCCCCCCCCTTTAAGCTTAAAACGTCAGAACGGCTTAACCAATCGGGCCGCAATATTTTGCGGGACCTCACATAACTCCAGGGAAGGTTTTATGGTTGCTAATGCTCAGAATTACAAAATTATTGTCTCCAATTTTCGTAAAATCTTGAAAACCCACGAAAAAAAATTGTAAATCCGGTAAATTTTTAATTATTGTTTTATTGAAGATAATAAAATTGCTGAGAGATTGAGCGATAATTAAAAGTTTAAATAGAGATTGCAAAGTTTAATTAAATTTTACATTTAACTATGAAAAAGATCTTTTTCTAGTGTGAAATAAACATTGAAATAAAAAAATGCCAACACTTATAACTGAACATTGCACTCTCATTTACTTCTTGCAGATTTTTTTTTACAAAACCATCATTTTTCTTTTCAGATATTTCAGCTATTTTAAAGTTTTCATCTTGCATAATCTATAAATATACAGAGCGTAGTTAGTATATTCTGTAAACTGTATTGATTAACTAAGCTATTACATTACAAACAGACTTCACAACTGCGTAGAGACTAAAGAGAGGAGGGAGGGGGGCCGGGGGCTGGCAAAAAAAATTAAATCTGTTATTTTTAATTGCAGGGTGGCCAAAACTTTTTGAAAAAGTTCGTACAAACATCCGTATATTTTCAGAAAAAAAACGTACATTTATGAAAATACATCTGTACAATCCGTACTTTTTTTTCGAAAAATCCGTACATTTAAGAGAGAAATCCGTACAAAAAAATGATTTTCCTTTGTGTTCGTATGTGAGCAAAGGCTGACCTTATAGTGCTTTAAAATTTATCTAAAACAAAACGGTGCACTGTGCAGTGTACATATGATAAAGATGATAAAGCCGGATAAAAAAAATCACGATGAAATAAAAAATACAATTAAAAAATCTGCTTACTTTTTAAGTTTGTACTATTATGTTAGCTTTTCTTTTTTTTTTTTTTTAATTTTATTTTTATTTTCTTAATTGGGATGGTTTTCCTTATTTGTCTAAGCTTAGAACTCATTATTTAGCAATAATGAAAAGCCCTATGTATTAATTAAGTAATCCTTGACCTTAAAATGTAATCAGATTTAAAGTTAGGATGATTTTTGTGAAATCTTTTGCGCTTTTTCAACACTCAACAGTGTGTTCCCAATAAACATGGGAAGTAAGTGACGACTTACACGTACATTATGACGACTTCTTAATTCCAATGTTTATTGGAACGTGTATAACATGACAAGAAAACCAGAATTGGTTGGTTTTAACTTCTTAAAGTACGACTCTTTGTTTTGTTTTCGGGTAATCTATTAATTTCAGATATTTCTGAATTTTAAATGAAAAAAAAAATTCATATTTAGGAAATGGCTGCATTATAAAAAAAAGAGGAAGGTCTAAAAATAAAGGAGCCCCTAATCCCATTCTGTTCATAATGGACCATAATTCTTTAGTTTGAGAATGCTCTTCTTTCTGAGCCTTACACTTTTTATGTTATAAAAACTTCTTGGAGTGTAAGAGATTGCCCCGTGTTTTCAAGTTTAAATTTTTCACATTTTATTTTGAATTATTCTTAAATTATGAAAAAATTAACAGATTTTTTTCAAACAAAAAAAGTAAACTGATAATCTGAGGTTTCTTTTTAAGCTAAAATTATGGATAATCGATAATTATTTTTGAGCTAGAGCAATCTAAATATAAAATTGGCATTTTTAAAAATAAATAAAAGAAAGCTATGGTACCGACACATTTCATGCTAACTTTGCAACTATTTTTTTATAAATCGGTATATTCCACAGCTCGCGTTTTCATCAAAAACATTTAATCTAAATCTGGTCAAAAAAGAATTACGAAGTAGTAACAAAAAAGTATGAGAAATAGAAAGAAAAAATGTAAACCTGGAAATAACTAAAATTGATCCCTGAGTACCAAATACCCCTACTGCAAAGGTTTTTTTTTGTGGGACATCATGTTATTTCTGGAACATATTCTCGAATAAACACTTATGGAACATATTCTCGAAAAGATGAAAGAATGAATTTTAATTGTCAATTGAAACAACAATCAATAAAGATAATAAGTTGATCTTCACTTTGACGAGACTTTTTCATGCAAACTTTTCATGGGAAAATTAGCGTTTGTTGAGTCAAATCGAAAAGAATAATGTTTTCCAGGCTAAAAACCTGAAAATCCGTACAATTTGAGACATCATCCAATTGTTTGGTAAATATCAAAAGTTCAAAACCCGTACAATCCGTACATTTTTCTACCCTGTAATTGATTTCATAAGATGGATATATCGTTTTTTATACCTATTTATCGAACACCTTTGATTTTTAATTGCAAATCTAATACGTATATTTTAAAACATTTGAAAAGACTACCTCCAGATCAAAAGATTTGAAAATTAGAATATCAGAGTTTGTGACAAAGACTCAATTCCTTTAAATATTTATGAACTGGATCTTTCACCACGGTACTATTTCACTAAGTATTTCACTATATCAACCTTTTACCATTTGAAAAGTGAACAAACAAACATCTAGCTTTTTTTCTGTTCAAAATTAATTAGATGCTTTTCTAGATTTTCAACGGCATGAACACATTTTCGCATATTTAAGAGTAACAATCCCGTAAAATAAATGTAATTATAAAAATTTGAAATTAATAAATCGAATCTAAATTAACAAATGTTTATTATTCAGCTTTCATGATAATTTATTTGTTTTTCTGGATTTCTAGTTGATCTAGTTCTACACATGTTGATTAAATAAGATTTACTGTCGAGGAGTCTGAACTATAACAAAGCAACATTTGCATTGAAAAATTGTATGCAGCTGTTGAGAAAAAAATATGTATATAATTAATAAATTGACAGCAATTTGCAGATTTAGAAAAAATCTTTGAACACAGTTTTAAAAAACAAATGGATATATTCAGTATGATTAAAATAAGTATGTATCTTTACTTAAAAATAATTTACGTCAACTCTGGTATAAATACTGGTATAAATATACTATTCAGAGTTCAAAGAAAAAGAAAACTTTTAATACATTTTTTTTCTTCTTATAATCTTGACAAGGTTTAAAAATAATTTAATTATCTGTTCATGAATGTAAAGGAGTTAAAAGGAAAATTTAAGTCTAAAGGGGAACAAAAAAGAAGCGATGAACAAGAAAATTCAATAAACAATGTCCGACACGGTCAGATAGAAAATGCAAGCAGTTCAAAGGTTATCTATCAATAGATAAGCAACTGTACATAACTCTGTAGGGGTATCTTGTCAGAATACCTAGCTACCCCTTGGCCAAGGCGCGGGTGATTTATAAAAAAATGGAAAGAAAAGAAAAATCGGACATAAACTGATAAGTTCTTCCCCCTTTTTAAGATAAGAGAAAAGATCGTGAAAGATCCCCAATGTGGGATCCCCAGACCGCCATCGGAAGTAATGGTCTCAGTCAGGACTGATTCCAAAACCCGGTACAATATACATCACACAACGATGCACTTTTAGTTAGTTCCTTATACCTGCATCTCTTTAGCATAAAAACGACAAAAGATTACAAAATCTGAAAAGAATTTAGAAAAATGGCCATAGAACGGAGTTTACATGAATAAGTTTAGATTGGATCCCAATCTTTAAAAAAAAGTTTTAAAATCAATATCATCATTTTACCTAGAAATTTGTCAATACATTTGTGCTTCTCTGCCGCCTCTTCCACCTCTTCTTCCTCTTCTTTTACCTCTTCCACCTCCTCGGCCTCTTCCCCCTCTATCCCATCTTGCACCTCTTCCACCTCTCCCTCTATTTTCCCCTCCTCCTCCCCTCCAGCCGTTAAACTCTCCTTCTCTTCCTCTTCCTCGTCCTCTCCCTCTTCTAGATTCTAATTCTCCCATTCCTCTTCTTCCTCTATTCGATCTTCCACCTATTCCATCTCCGTTTCCTTGAACTCTTCTACCTCTGGTTCCGAATCCTCTTTCTCCTCCTCTCAAATCTCCTCTTCCCCAACTACCACTGTTCCAATCTCCTTCTACCCTATATCCCCCTTCATCCCAATCACCACCTCCCCATTCTCCTCCTTCCCACTCTCCTTCCCATTCTCCTCCTTCCCAATTTCCTCCTCCTCTTCCTCTCCCTCTGTTACCACTTCCTCTATCTTCTTTTCCGCCTAAACTGCTTTCTTCTGGCAGAGAAAAAACCTAAAACCGTAGACAATCAATATATGTATATATCATGTAAGTTTGTATGTTTGCATTTAATAAATGTCAATACGGCTAAACCGATTAGCCGAACTTTTTGTGGTAACTTGAACGACCAAAAGAAAGGTTTCTGGCCAGTCAAAATTTAGAAAAATTCTATTTTTTTCTATTTATTTCCATTTTTTTCGAATATACAAACAAAAACTAAAAAATCCACGAAATTATTTAACTTCTTATAATTTTAAAATCTACAAAATAGTAAGGCATGCACCCACAAACATCAGGAGCAAATAGCAAAGATTTTAACTAGAAATAAGGAGGCAAAGCTAAAAATTTCAACCCTAGGGTGGCGGTAGGTATACCAGAACTTCACAAGCTATAACTAAAACATAATGTTTATTATGAGGTATTTTTCTCAAATAAAAACTTCCTCTATGAATAAATTTAGGTATCCAAAAGCTAAACAGCAGTTTAAGATAGGACAGGATAGGAGCAGGGGTATATATTTTTAATAATACACCCGACGTGGTCGGGGGGGAGGACTGGGATGGGAGGAGGTCTATCTTTGATGCTCTTGTGTAAAAAATGAACATCAAAAGACAAGATTTTTCACCCATTTGATATTTTTAAATCATAACTTCATTTATTTTCTCCTAAAAATAATTAATTTTCCCTGATTTAGCGAATAAAACCCTAAAAGAATTGGGGGTCTTCGCACAATAATACCTAGCATCTGGGAGGAAAAATTATTTTCAAAAGAGGGAGGGAGAGATTTTTCATGAAAATATACACCCCTGATCTAAATTGTATAGTGTTTATACCTGTGTTAGATTAGTTGGATGCTTTTTATACATAGTGGATTGGTTCTCAGTATAGTATCCAGGGCTGGAGAAAGAATCGTCCTCAGCAAACTCTGACCCAATCAGCCGATCCACCGCAGGTACTCCGGAGTTATAATATGCAGCCTGGTTGGTATTTATCAACGTATTCTGGTTCTGAGAGTAAACGTTCCAATCATGAGTCCCTGCGTGGGTGTTTGGGTTCCAGTTTGCAGATTTATAACTCTGTGCGTTCACTTCGCCGCTCTCATTCCACTGATTATTAGTTAAACGTTCTGCTGAGTTTGATACCGAAAAAATAGAATCCGTTCCAGCGTTCCATGCCTTAGCCACAGGCTGAGTTCCATCATTCCATCCTGATTTAGTTCCTTCGTTCCAGAACCTGACCTGTTCCTGTCTGAAATGGTTTGAATCCATCGCGGCAGCCTTTTCCGTTTTAAAAACAGTTCCAAAATCCTCTCCAACAACAGCATCTTCATTAGATGGAGAAAAGGCTTTCTCAAGGTAAAAAGGACTTTCTGAAACAGTTGACATTAAACTTGGTTTCAAACCAGGTTCTGGGATTCCTTCAAGATCAGAATCTTTTCTATGTTCAAGTTGGTTGACTGCTTCTGATTTTGATGTGGGTTCAGAGTTTGATTTTATTTCCAGGGTTGCTTCTTGGTCTATGTTTAGTTTTATATCAGATTCGGTAACAGACTTGCATTCTGATACTAACTCTTGTTCCTTTTCTGTCAACAGAATAGGTTCAGGTTCAACTTTGTTGTCTTCTCTCTGTTCCATAGATTTGTTGAGACGAGGTTCCGGGGGATCGTCTGCAAGATCTATCAGTTCTATCTCAGACTCAGGGTTCAGACGTCTACCATGATTCTCAAATGTCCAGCCTTGATTTTTCAGATGTTTTAACGAAGGAGATATTGTGATCTTTAATCCTGAAATATTAAATTCTTATATATTTTCCGATGAGTGCAGAAAGCATATTTAAAGAAAGTTTAAAAACGTTAACACCTGCAACTTTACAAGTGTGTTTTAATTCTTCTGAACCGTCAGTTTAAAGTCATAGATTTTTTGTATAAAGTTGCATAAAAAAATAAATATTAGAAACTTAGAAACCCTGGGGAATATTTTTTTACTATTTTTTTTAAAATTTGAAACCCTAAAATCAGATATGTATATATTATCCTTTAGATGAAGAATCATCCTAATTATATTAAGTATAAGAAAACGTGATTTATTAAGGTTTTCAGTTGATACTAGCTTTCAGGAAATTTATTGAAATAAAAACATGGAAAATTAAAACCATTATTAAAAATTAAAAATTTTACCTGTAAATTTTTTCCTATGGACTTCCGTTAGATTTTGATTTCCAGTGATGTCCGATTCAATCAGATGCATTTGCTGGACTGATCCAGAATCATTTTTAGGTTCAGTTCCTTCCACATTTCGGGGCCCAGTTGGTTCTAGATTTCGGAGCTCAGTTGTTTCTGGATTTCGGGGCTCAGTTGTTTCTGGATTTCGATGACCAGTTGGTTTTAGATTCTGTGACTCAGTTACATCGACGTTTTGGGGCCCAGTTGTTTCTAGATTTCGGGGCCCACTTGGTTTGAGATTTTGGGGCTCAGTTACTACGACATTTCGGGGCCCAGATGGTTCTAAACTTTGAGGCTCAGTTCCCTCGACATTTCGGGACTTAGATGGGCATAAATTTTGGGACGGTTCTAGATTTTGTGGACCAGGAACAGTTGTAGGTCCAGAAGTAGGGATTGGAACAGGAACTGAGACAGACTCAGCTACATGATCTAGGTTTGAAAAGCGTTTCTTTGTCAAGGGTTCCTCAGAAGGAACTAGGGTCGGAGAAGGACGTTTTGTAGGTTTAGTTGGACTGTTCGACTTGACTTGAACTGGTGGTTGCGGAATTGAACCAAGATCTTGATGATCTGAGTTTTGACGGATTGTATTAGTTGCGCTTTGTACTTGATTTCTAGGGAGTGTAATTGTTTTTTTGGTTTGTTTGTTAATGACTGTACTTGGTATCATCTGCTTTTTAAACGGGGTATCCTTAACAGTATTACTGGGAGATATGTTGAAAACAAGTTTTTTCTGTAAGCTAGGAGATGGTTCAGCTGGCAATATGTTTTCACTGCTAGGATTTACATTACTAAAGCTGGAACTAAAAGCTTTAAATTTATTTTTATTATTTTGTGGATTTTCTTCTTCGATTATCTGAATGTCATCATCTTGATACGGGACAAGGGGATTAACATTTTCAGATTTGTTTTTGTCGAGAAGGTTTTGTCTGTATCGACCGTACGCCAAGAGACTAAGGTAAACCATTCTTCTGAAATAAAAATAAAATTATGTTTCTTTATTTAGTTAAATATGGTCTGTCCTAGTAAACGAATTTTGGACACTTTCTGGGCCGAGCGCTGCAGCTAGGATGGGCTAGGGGAAGGGGGGGCCAAAAATCGTATACTAGGAAATTACCCAGAGTCAATATTTTTTAATAACAGATTTTGCATTATATTGTGGGTTATTATTATCCTTTTGAATACAATAAATTCAGTTATTTAATGTTTAAATCACTGTTTATTTAATGATGTTGACTGAATCAGCTGACAGTGACGTTACTACTTAACCTACAAGTATTGTGTACTGTGTCTGTATCAACGCTTTCTTTTGTTTACAATAACCTTTCATACAAATTTCTCTTTCGATTTCCATTATTGTTTTTATTAAGAAGAATTGAATTCTCCTTGGTATTCATTAAGACTTAAGAGCGTACACAGGGTGGGGGGGGCAAGGGGGCGATACTCCCCTAAACCTGTTCCGGGGGAGGCGTATCCCACCTAGAACGATAACAATTTTCAAATCTGAAACCATTACGATTGATGGACTGCAAGGGCGTATACAGAAATAAATGTAGGGGGGGGCAAGATTTGCGCGAAGCGGAAAATTTTTTTTTTGCCCCCCCCTAGGAGCTCCTAGGGGGGGGGCAAAATTCGAACTGTAAACTCATAACACTTGGCTTCTTGGATATCAGGCATAAGTATAAGATACTTAAAAGGCACACATACAGTCCAAATAATTACCTTCTAAGCATTGTTTCTAAAAAATCGACATTTTATTATACTTTTATAGGTATATTTAGTATTTAAACTAGAGATAGTAAAAGACATTTTTGAAAATAAAAACTTAACTTAAACTTAAATTCTATGAGATGAAAAGAAGTACAAAGGTCCAGAAAATAATTATGACTTGTAAAAGTTTCTGTTGTGAAAAAAAGTAGGAGTACAATTGCTGCAATCTAAGAATGAATGATAACTCAAGACTTATAATTAACAGTATTTGATTCATGATAATTATTAATCAGCAATTCACAGATACCAGTCACAACGGCAACTTTTAACAGACTCACATCACTACTTAACAAGACTAGCATATAATGTAAAGTGTGTGAGCTGTACAAATGTATGCAGACTGTGTGTTCTCTGAACCCAACTAAACTCTGTGTACTCTGTGAACTTAAAAGTTAAAATTAGGTTAGGTTGGTTAGGTTAACTTGGTTACAGCATGAGCACTGCACTGTAATTATATATATTTTAAAATTTTGATTTTTTATAATAATCATGAAAAGCAAACTTATTTTTTTTGTGTTCTTCACTCTTCAGTTAAGATTTGAAAAGTGTGAAAGGCTTGCAGAATTCTAGGGGGGGGCTACGCCCCCCCCCTTTACAAGTCTAGGGGGGGGCACTGCCCCCCATGCCCCCCCCTGTATACGCCCTTGATGGACTGCATGTGATATACCTGCAAAGTAAACAATTAAGAAGCCAATTTCCAAATGTTCTGAAGTTACAGTTCAAATCCCCCCCCTTGTTTTGCTCCTTGTGCAGGGGCAAATTTTTCCCCCATATATCCTTTCCTTTCTCTTCACATACCCTCCCATCCTTCCCAATAGTTCTCTACAAATACCCTTCTATCCTTTATCCCTTAAATTCTCTGCACATCCCTTACATCCTTCCCTTATTCTCTACGCAAACCCTCCCATTCTTCCCTAATCCTCTACACATATCCTCCCAGCCTTCCCATATTCGACTCTACACATATCCTCCCATCCTTCCCAAATTCGACTCTACACATATCCTCCCATCTTTCCCTTATTCTCTACACAAACCGTCATATTCTTCCCTAATCCTCTACTCATATCCTCCCAGCCTTCCCATATTCGACTCTACACATATCCTCCCAGCCTTCCCATATTCGACTCTACACATATCCTCCCATCTTTCCCTTATTCTCTACACAAACCGTCCTATTCTTCCCTAATCCTCTACACATATCCTCCCAGCCTTCCCTTATTCTCTGCACATATCCTCCCATCCATTCCTTCCCTTATTTTCTACACATACCCTTCTATTTTATATCCCTTAAATTCTCTTCACATCCCTCCCATCCTTCCCTTATTCTCTACGCAAACCCTCCCATCCTTCCCTTTTTCTCTACACATCCTCCCAACCTTCCCTTATTCGACTCTACACATATCCTCCCATCTTTCCCTTATTCTCTACACATATCCTCCCATCCTTCCCTTATTCTCTACACACACCCTTCCATCTTTCCCTTATTCTCTACACATATCCCCCAACCCTTCCCTTATTCTCTACACATATTCCTCCCATCCTTCCTTTATTCTAGACACATACCCTCCCATCCTTCCCATAGTAAGTATGCTTATATATATTGTAAACTATGAAAATTAGTAGAATAACCAAACATTACTGTAATTTCTTGAAGTCAATAATGCAAGTCATTCTTTAGATTCCCTTAGAGTCCTGTGTCTCACTCTATGTATCTATCTATCTACATATATTGTCTGACTATCAATCTATCTATAGTAAATAGAAACTGCATGACTCGTCAAGTATGACGAGTATACCTGAACATATCTTTATATTGGTATTAGTTCACATATAGTGGTTTTCTTTACTTCATTGGTTTCAGTAGTTTGACAGTAAATACAGTGATATCAATAATCAGTAAAAATAAGTTGTTTTCATTGATATAGTTTTTTCAGAATAGTAAAAATCTGGTAAAAGTTTTAACTCTTATATACATATATATGTCAGCTATAGCTGGCAAAACGGCTGGACCAAATTTTCTGATTTTTTTTTATGAATTACATGGGCCTATTAGTATTGGGTACACGAGGGATAATATAGACTAAAAATTAATGATTTTTTTTCTTCACAAACCTTTTTTTCAAATCGATTTTTTAAAATTAGAAATTTTTTTCCCACGGGCAACGCCGGGCACATCTAGTTTATAATAAAACATATAAAATTTAAATAATACGTGCACTACAGTTTAGTTTTACTTGATAGAAAGAAGAACAAAAGATTTATTTCAGGTAGTTATGGAAGCTTTAGGTTTTAATCTGATCACACCGTGCTCAACAAATTCCAAGGATAAAATAGAAAAAGAAGTAAAAAATGATGGACAAGAGACAACGGACGAGGATGCTAAAGAAAGACATCCTTGGAATAGATTAGGAAAATATGCATTAATTTAGAAATATTATACTTTTCCAACCAATCCCTTCTCTTCTTTTTTTCACAACTTGTGTTTATATTTTAAACTTGATAATTTTTCTTGAATTGCCCACATCAAGGTGTGCACAGCTGCCGTTAAACTTGTCTGATAAAACTTGTAGTTTTCCTTTCAAAATTTAAGTTCAGAGAGAACATTATTACGTTAATTAATTATCCACAAAAGATATGACTTCAGCTAGACCATATCTAGAATTTATTAATGCGAGTAAACCGATTTTGTCCCCAAACTGGATATTTGTCTTTTTCTGTAAGAAAACAGTTAACATTTTCTTAAAGTGCTGTATTTAAGATAATCTAACCTAATTAGATCTTAATGCTTGGACACAAATGTCCAATATTTTCTAAATAATATATTTACAATGACCAGTGCTGTACCAAGTTAGCATAATGACTGCAGTTGTATTAGCTCTCAGACTTCATTCTATAGGAACCAGTGAAACCAAACACTATAAAACCTAACCGTTAAACCATTGAAACCAAACGAATTTAAACCTAACCGTTAAACTATAGAAACCTTTAAACCTAACCGTTATACCATTGAAACCAAACACATTTAAACCTAACCGTTAAACTATAGAAACCTTCAAACCTAACCGTTAAACCATTTAAATCTAACCGTTAAACTATAGAAACCTTTAAACTAACCGTTAAACCATTGAAACCAAACACATTTAAACCTAACCGTTAAACCATTGAAACCAAACACATTTAAACCTAACCGTTAAACCATACTTTTTAAAATCTGTATGTTAATCTTTAAATTAACGTTTTAATCTTTAAACAAACCTTTTAATCTTTAAACTAACCTATCAATCATAAAACTAACCTTTGTATTATATTAAATCCTTAAACTAGCCTTTATATACTTGAACTAACTTTTAAATCCTTAAATTAACCTTTATATACTTGAACTAACCTTTATATACTTGAGTTAACCTTTATATCCTTAAAATAACTTTTATATTCTTAAATTAACCTTGAAATCGTTTAACTAACCTTGAAATCCTTAAACTTACCTTGAAATCATTGAACTATCCTTTAAATCCTTAAACTAACCTTAAAATTCTTAATCTAAAACTTAAATACTTAAACCAGCCTTCTCATTCTTAAACTAACCTTTTTTATTACTTAACCAACCTGAAAAGATGTACAATTGAACTTTTTGTTCAGATTAAATATCAAGAAATTAATTTAAGATTACTTTTACAAAACTGCACTCATGCAGCTTCAGTTGTCAAAAGTATAAAGTTTAATCATTATTTTTAAGTATTTATGAAATAAATAATGAATCATTTTTTTCTGGAGTTAAAATGTTGAGTAAAATATGAAACTAAGAATCAAGTTGTGTAAATTATGCACTTTTAAAAAATAAAAAATCAAGGATAAAACTTTCTGAGTAGATTTACTGATGTTATCTGTATCATCTTAAAATGACTGTTTTCGTTGCATCATCATAAATCCAGTTTTAATATCTTTTATTTTAGTAATTAGTTTCTAAGCAATTAAATTAGGCAATTTTCCAATAATCATCCCGTAGATAAATAAAGGGTTACCCACAATGGATAATGCTTAAATCGATGACCTGTAATTCTTCATATTAAATGATTATATGTAGTTTATCTCTATTTATCATACAGAGTCATGATCAGCATTGAAGGGGCTGTTTTGTACAGAGGCGTATTCAGGGGGGGAGGCTAAGCCCCCCCCTCTTGACCAGTGAAACCTATTGTTTTTAGGGGGTTTTCAGGCCCCAATGGCTGCTGAGGCCCCCCCCCCTCGGAGGAAAAAAATGCCCTCCCTGGACAAATTCCTGAATACGCCCCTGGTACTTTACAGACGTAATTTTACATGACTGATTATGGATGACGGACTTATCCTAGTAGTTCTCTGCAGAAGTGCTTGTAGGATTATTTATTTAACTTATTTTGCAAGATGTTTAGAAAATAAGATATTAATATTTACTTTCCAGGGGTCGCCAAAGTTAAATGTTTTTTTTTAATTTTTTTATTTTGAAACCGCGTTTGACATCGAATATTCGGAATTTTCGAGAAATACGTACAGTAGTAGTATAGTACAGTACACAGTATACAGTGCAGTAAGCCAGGGGCGTACGAGGGGCCCGGGTCCCTCCTACATGTACCCCCCCTGAAATATACGTACAGTATAAGTAAAGTACACAGTATACAGTGCAGTAAGCCAGGGGCGTACGAGAGGCCCGGGTCCCCCCCTACATGTACCCCCCCTGAAATATACGTACAGTAAGTACAATACACAATATACAGTACAGTAAGCTAGGGGCGTACGAGAGGGGGGCACCAATATAAAAAAATACATCAAAATCTCACTTTTGCCTCTAACTAAAACAGTTTGATTAAAAAAGCTTTAATCATTAATTAATACTGCCTTCAATGTAAATATACCTTTGATATCATTATTTATAATTATACAATATGTATCGTTTCTATGAAAATAAAGATATTTTTAAAGAAATATTTCCATCTCTATTTTTCACCCATTGAAGCTTACCTTGACCTGTTCCTTTCAGAACTATAAAGCACTTGTTTTCAGCTTCAGCTTTAAAAAAGCAATTCAAAAAAGTCTTATCGGTTTATGCGTGAAAACTTGCAAGCTTTGGATCACAATTATAACTAACACAATTCTTAGCTACGTTTCTGTAATCAAAAGAATCTTGTTATTAAATGACTTGACAAAGAAAGTCACGAAAAATTAAAGTAAATTAAACGTCAGATTTAAAACTTACATGTTTTTAATCATAACTTCTCTTTAATTAAGATATATGTTTTGCATTCTTGTATGCAACTAATGCAACCAAATAATTCTCGTACTGAATGTTGAAATATAGCAGTATTAGTATTCAGGGTTACCCAGAAAGGATGAGACTGTAAAGTCAAAGACGACCCAAAACTCTTAAATATGTCGATTTAAAGATTGAGTTTTGGTTTACTAAATAATTAAGAACAAAAAACCTAGTTTTGTCCTACAAGGAACCCTAAATGTAAGAAAACGGACAAAACACCAGTTTTGTCCTGCAAGGAACCCTATATGTAAGAAAACGGACTAAACAAATTCCGTACAGTCTCATCCATTGTAGGTAACCCTGTATTCATCTATATTAAATACAATAGTTCCAATAGTCTCAAAACAGTCCTACAATATCAATAAAATTCTTTGAATTGTCAAAAAATATTCAATCATCATGTCAAATAAACGACGAAAGAGATCAAAAATGAATAAAACGAAAGATTTCTTTGGTGAAAAGGATTCAAAGGTTAGCACATTTTTTATATCTTAAGAGGGGAGGGGGGNCTTTTTTCCATTTATTCCTTTTCATTTAATTTTATTTCCTTTATAATAGATATAATGATTGGAAAATAAGGTTTTCTAATAATCCTAAAATAATCATCGATTAATGATAAATTAGATAAATTAACTGGAAAAATATATACACGTGCCCTTCTTATAAACAGGATTCCCCCCTAATGTACTATCTATCTGTAACTAGGGATGTTAACGTTTTCATTTTTTTGAAAAACGATCGTCACCGACGTTCCTTCGTTAACAATCGTTAACGAAGACCATTCCTTTATGATGGTTAACATAATTGTCAGTAAATTTTTTTTCAAAAACGATCGTTTTTTAAAAGCGATAGTTTTTGAAAAAACAATCGTATAATAAACTGTCGCAAATCGTTTTTTTTAAAAAACGATCGTTATTCGTTTTCTAAAAGCTCAAAACGATCGAAAACGAAAAAACGATCGTTTTCAAAAACGACTAACAACCCTATTTGTAACTAGCTTTGCTAGCGGGAGCATGGGGCTTATCCAATAAAATTCAGGATATTTATCAACATGAAAAATTTACTAATTAGGAAGTTCTATGTAAAGTGGGAATACTTTGTATACATTTTTCGAATATACATCACACTTAAACTTCATGCAAATAAAACATAAGTTTCAACAAAGCATATCTTACGCCGAACTGGATCTAATTGTATTTAGGCAGCCAAATTTTTTTATCCACATAAACTCTTTTATTTGTTGTGGGGATAATTTTGATTATTTTTATGGACTACGGTATAGCTATATTTTTTGGTTTTTTGGTTTATACGAAGTGTAACATTTAATCCCTTGATATCGTTACAATCCCAGACATAAATCCTAGGGAAATCAAGATCAATCGTTGTTGGAGTA